GCTCAGTTCCACAAGACTGCTCCCACTTCAGACACTAAGCACACATGGGTCCCCAGGCTACCTCACTGCTACTGGGCCAACTACAAATTCAGGGCTTCTGGTGACTGCTCACTCCAAGATTTGACAATTTGTTAGAACAGCTCACAGAACTCAGGAGAGCACTATACATAGAATTACAGTCTTATTATACAGGGTACAACTCAGGAACCGCCAAATGGAAGACATGAATAGCACAAGGCATGGAGGTGGGTGAGCACAGCTCTTTCATGCCCTCTCTGGACAAGCCTCCTCCCTGCACGTGGATATGTTCATTATCCCGGAAGCTCCCCCAAGCCTCATCATTCTGAGTTTTTTTATTGAAGTTTCATTACATAGGCAGGATGGATGAAATCACTTTCTATTGGTGCCTGAACTCATCTCCAGCCCCTTTCCCCTTCCTGGAGGTTGGGGGATGGGGCTGAAAGTTCTAACCCTCTAACCACCTAGTTGGGTTTTCTGGTAACCAGCCCACATTTGAGGCTCTTTAGGCCCCTCTCCCCATGAGTCATTCATTAGCACACAAAAGACACTCATGTCTGTCTGAAAATTCTAAGGGCTAAGCTAAATTGTCTCCCCTTGTTCCTCTCTCCCGTAGAACTGTATTATTTTTCATCATGGTATTCATCACACTTTGAAGAATGTATTCATATGTTTACTTGCTTAATATCTGGGTCAGTAGACCAAGCTTCAGGGGAGCAGGGCACTGTCTCTCGTTCAGTCCCATACACACACGCCTTCAGCATCTAGTACATAATGTGGTAAGATATTTGTGGGAGGTAAACTTAGACTCTTCAGGATAAGTGCAGAGTAAGGAGGAACCATAGGCACCAACCTCTCAGGGAAAAAAGCTTGTGTCAGTGGCTTGCTTTTAAGGGGTATAGGGGTTGTATTCTAGCTCCACTTAGTAGACATCCTTAAATTCTTAGAGCATGTGTATGGAATAAGATGGCCCTGCTGCCAAGTACCAGCCCGATGAGGACCAGCCACTTCTACTGGACGTTCAGTCCCTGGACGACCAAATGGCACTATCAGAATACATGGGGGAAGTATTTTTCAGGCCCATGGCCTCTCATGTAGTAAACAAGGACAGATGGCATTTTCTTTTTTTTTTTTTTTTTTGAGACGGAGTCTGGCTCTGTCGCCCAGGCTGGAGTGCAGTGGCGCGATCTCGGCTCACTGCAAGCTCCGCCTCCCGGGTTCACGCCATTCTCCTGCCTCAGCCTCCCGAGTAGCTGGGACTACAGGCGCCCACAACCGCGCCCGGCTAATTTTTTGTATTTTTAGTAGAGACGGGGTTTCACCGTGGTCTCGATCTCCTGACCTTGTGATCCGCCCGCCTCGGCCTCCCAAAGTGCTGGGATTACAGGCGTGAGCCACCGCGCCCGGCCGACAGATGGCATTTTCATTGCTTCTCCCTTGTGGGGGTTGAAATTCTGGAAAAGAATCCGGAACTTTGGTTTTTCTAGACGATGTTTACTAACTAGTGATGATAAACTTTTAGCTAAGAATAGAGTTATTTTCATGACATGGGGAAGAAAATATTTTCCCAGAGCAAGTTAACCATGTCTAAAAGAATTTATTTAGCTTTTTTTTTTTTTTTTTTTTTTTGAGATAGGGTCTCTGTTGCCCAGGCTGGAACACAGTGGTACAATCCCAGCCCTCTACAGCCTCCAACTCCTGGGCTGGTCTCAAGCAGTCCTCCTCACCTCAGTCTCCCAAGTAGAGCTGGGACTACAGGCATGCACCATCATGCCCAGCTAATATTTTCTTTTTTGTAGAGTTGGGTTCTCCCTATATTGCCCAGGCTGGTCTTAAACTTCTGGCCTCAAGCAATCCTCCCATCTCAGCCTCCCAAGGTGCTGGGATTACCAACGTGAGCCACTGCTCCCAGCCTGGTCCAAAAGAATTCAAAATGGAGCCTATAAGGAAAAGGGGAAAGGTATCCAGATAATCCTAAGCACTCTGAAAAATGGCTAATATATGGAAAAAGAGAATAAAAGTCGGGGGGAAATTCGATGATTCAAATGAGAAAATCAATGTAAGGTGAGTTAGAAAAAGTATTTCCAGACTCAGGGCACAGAGAAGTAAACTCTAGGTCCTGACGCAGTCTGTTGAGACCTCTTTGTGTCCTAATGAGATGCTTTTTCAGCCTCAGGAAGGAGCCTCTATAAAGAGGGAAATAAGAGACTCTCCCTTGCTTGCTGTTCTGTCACTTCTTGTAGCTGGAGCAGCAAGTAGAAAGAACTGGGTAACTGGTGTTGTCAACAGATCTGCATTGAATACAGAAGGGCCCTCTCACCCTCTCTGAGAGGGAAGCAGGCACAGACTGTATTACAGGTGGACCCAAGAGAGGCTTCTGAGTGACACCAGGGTCCTTGCCTCTCAGCAGCGGCAACAGGTTCTTGACCAACTTAGAAGCTGTTCCCGTTGGCTTCATGCTCTTCCTTGTGAATTTGCTGCCTCCTTATGTTTATCTATTAGAATAAAAATGACAAAAATCAGGATTATACACGGAAGCCAAGAAAGACCGAGAAGGTTATTCTCAGACCTCTTTACTGGTTCTTCCTGTTCTCCCCAACTTCTCATTGTTAGGGTAGCCCCAGGACATTCTCGTCTATCTGTATTCACTCTCTTGGTGACCATGGCCAGGTTTATTGCTTGAAATACCATATATATCCTGATGCTTTCCAAATGCCATGCCCAGCCCAGACCTGGCAGCCAGCCTCCAGGTTAGAATGTCTGCCCAGGATATCTCCCCGGGCTGTCCGGTAGATGTCTCAGGGTTCTGCATGTCTAAAATGGATCTCCTGATATGTCCAGATTCCAAAGTGCTTTTCACACCTCTGCTTCCACCGCCCTGGTTTGAGCCACCATCATCTCACCTAGACTGCTGTCTCCCTGATAATGCCATTGCACCCCTAATGGTCTTCTCAGCAAACATTAAATCACAACACTTCCGTTTAAAAACCTGCACTGGCTTTCTCTCCCAGTGCCCTCATAATGCCTGCAGTGCCTCACATGATCTGCCCTTCACCCTCACCCTTCTCTCTGCCTTTATCTCTGGCCTTACACACCCCACTCCAAACATGCTGGCCTCCTGAGGCTCCCCAAGCCATCCCAGGCACAGCCTTGCCTCGGGCTTTGCACTGACTGCCCCTTTTTCCAGATGCACTTTTGCAGGCGTCCATGAGCCACCTCCCATACCTTCTCCAAGTTGTTGCTCAAATGTCACCTTCTGAGAAAGAAAGGCCCAGCTACTCTGACCCTCCTGCTCTGGAGTGCCACTGGTACTCCTGAACCCCCTGCTCTTACCATCTTTTTATTTCTGTAGCACTTACCTACCTTTTGGCATGCTCTGTAATTTGCTTATTTACTTAACTGTTTGTCTCCACCTGCTGGAATGTAAACTCCATGGGACAGTAGTCTTTGCTCTGTTTATCAGTGTTTTCCATGAGCCTAGAACAGGACCTGACCCAATTAAAGTATTGATTAAAAAGACAATGTAGGCCAGTCATGTGAGGCCTGTAATCTTTGCCAAAGTAGGCAGATCACTTGAGGTTAGGAGTTTGAGACCAGACTGGCCAACGTGGTGAAACCTCGTCTCCACTAAAAATACAAAAATTAGCTGGGCGTGATGGCACACACCTGTAGTCCAAGCTACTCGGGAGGCCAAAAGAGGAGAATAGAATCGCTTGAACCTGGGAGGCGGAGGTTGCAGTGAGCTGAGATCATGCCACTGCACTCCAGCCTGGGTGACAGAGCGAGACTCTGTCTCAAAAAAAAAGACAATGTAGACTGTCAGAGAGAAGAGTTGCCAGTGTCCTGATAGCAGAGAGACCCAGAGATGAAGGCTTTCCACCAAGTGACGATCCTGGGGGTTTGGAAGGCAATCCTGTTGAATTGCCTTTTGTCAGGGCACCCATTGGAGGGGTCTGCACCCTTGTACCCCTTAGGGAGGCAGTGAGCCTTGAGGGAGCCTTGAGGTAAGGGCAGTTCAGTCATCCTAGCATCTTAGAGTCCCTTTATCCAGCCAGCCCAGGAGGGCTGTGTTGGTATCAGCACTTGGGTGCACTGAGGTGCCACTCATGAAGCTGACCCCATCCTACAAACGCAGAGCTCAGCCAGCAAGAGAGTACCTTGATGACACTGGCAGAGAGCCTTACGTCTGCATGTAGCACTCTGGAAAAATACCCTGTAGCTAGCCCCTTTTACAAGTTAATGAGTAAAAATGCAGTTATAGCAGTTATCTATTTTTTTTACTTGTTAAGCTCGTTCTTCCTTTTAACTGCAAGTCAGCTATTCTCTTTGCCATCACTGTTGCTTTTCAAATCATTCCACACCTGGTTTATACATGAGAGAGCATTGAAATCCTCTGCAACTATTAAGGTCACTAGGAGTATTTTCTCTTATTATTTGTAAGAAAGTTGTTGGCTTGGGTTTGATCATTTCAAATGTGTTTTATTTAAAAATACATATTTGTAAAAATATTGAATATACACTAAAAATTATACACATTTCTTCTTCTGTTTGCCTCTTCCTTATGAAAAGTTGATTGTTACTTTAATAATTAACTTTTTCACCTTCTTATATTTTACCAGTAAATGTTTGCTAACTTGAATAAACAGCATGACTAATATTTGTTATAATTATCTTAGAATTATTTTTCTTATTTGGGATAAGCCACTGTGGGCCATTGTGATAAAGGCTGAGTGGAAGGTCAGGGCTCTCTCTGAGTACCACGTGGGAACAATACAGTCTAGAGGCCTGGCTAGGAAGCCTGGCTCTCCGAAGTTGTCTCACTCATTGCCTCCTGAGCCAGCACATTGTTGTGACAGAGCATCAGAAGGGAGCCCAGAGGTGGCATTTGGGAGCTGTTTTCACTGCCTGGCCTGTGGTGTGGGCAACGATGGGTGCTGATTCTGGGGGCTGGGATAATAACTCAGTACTTTGCTTTCTCACAGTTGTTTCCTCTCTTTGCTCCTGGTGGCTGCTGTGGTTTGGAAGATCAAACAAAGTTGTTGGGCCTCCAGACGTAGAGAGGTAAGCCTCAGTGAGTAAAGATTAAAGAATCTCTGGAAGAGGTTTTTTTCTTTATTTTTCTCTTAAGCAAGTGGGTTTTGGCTATTCAGTGATAATGGACAGACAGACATCTCCACGGCAGGAATAATGCAGCGCTTTCTGCAATCCATGGTTCCGCAGCATATGATCAGTAAACTTAGATAAGTGCTACATAAAGTGTAATTAGTTCTGCACCACAGGGTCTTACCTTCCTAAAAGGAAACTCTGGTGTTGACTTAGAAATGCCAGTTTTATCCTTCCGACCAGAACCCAAGTCCTGACTGAGGCCAGAGATCCAAGGGCTTATTAGCACAGCCCAGCCACCGTATGATTAGGCACCACCTTCACAAGAACTTTTCATGGGAGAGGGAAGTCAGCCATTTAAGCATCTCAAAAATTTTTCATTTTTCAAGGAAAGATAAATGTGTGTGTAGTCAAGTTTTCCACTTGAATTTTATTTTTCAATAAGTCTTGATTTGTTTCCAGAGCTTCATTCCAAAAGTAGTAAGTCAAGCAAACATTTACAGTTGACAAATTTAAATACATAAACTTGGTTGAAAATTACAACATATCAAATGCCCATCAATCAATGAGTGGATAAAGAAAATGGGGGGGGTAGTGTAGTGTGTATATATATATTTATATACATTTGCAGCAACCTGGGTGGAATTGGAGACCAGTATTCTAAGTGAAGTAATTCAGGAATGGAAAATCAAACTTCATATATTCTCACTTACAAGTGGGAACTAAGCCCTGAGGATGCAAAGGCATAAGAATGATACAATGGACTTTGGGGACTCGGGGGAAAGAGTGGGAGGGGGGTGAGGGATAAAATACTACACATTGGGTACAGTGTACACTGCTCGGGTGATGGGTGCACCAGAATCTCAGAAATCACCACTAAAGAACTTATTCATATAACCAAACACCACCTGTTCCCCCAAAAACCTATTGAAATAATAAATAAATAAATAAATATTTTTTAAAAAATAACCACCATTAAAATAATTACAACATAAAAACTTTGTTTATGGCAACTTTCACTTGCATCATTACTTTGCCTTTCATTTAGTCATGCCTGTTGCATTGTTGCTAATGGAAATGCTCACCTGTATATAAGAGCTAGCCAAAGAAGCTGTCTGGGGTTTTTTTTTGGATCTGCTCATGCCTTTTTCTACATAAAAATTTATTTATAGATAAGATTTAGAAGAGAAGGGAAGTGTGTAAAATCACAGCTCACAGGCATTCAGCACTGTTTATAGGACGTTCATGTCTGAATAGGATTAAGACAGGCTCCAGGATAAGAGCCTCTTGTTGTGGGCCACAGTACCACCTTTTCTGACCCACATAAAGATGATGTTATCATAGAGGGAATGTTGTACACACTTTATTATTAGGTTTTAAATTCAGGGGATAACATATTCAAAGGGTTTTTTAGATAGCTGTATTACTGATACACTTTAAAATCCTAATGAATTACATGATGTTCTGAAAAAATTATATTTTCAATTTAATTTAAATGTATATTTATTCACAGTGGAGTAAGAAGTAAGAAGCCACAGTAAACCAGTAACCAAGAAAGGAGTTGAAAACTTTGTCTAAGTGCTACTCTCTCCAAGAAGAACATTAGACCCAGGGAGTTTCAAGGTTGAGACGAGCTTATGGAGATAATGATAGCCTGTTCCTCCCTGAGTGCTTATGAGAATTAATTGTATCTAAAATCTGTAAAGCAAAGGAACAGATGGAAAGCTCGAAAGAGTCTGAATGATTTTATACACAGAAATCTTGGTACCAAAACTTGACAAAGGCAGCACCAAAATATATAGGCCAGCCACATGGTAAATGTATGTGCAGCAGTCTAATTGCAGTGTAATGAAAGAGTCACTTAATATTAGAAAACCTATTATATCATGTGAAAAAAAGAATATACTCTGTCAATGGGGAAAAAATAACACCTGAATTCTTCCTAGAGGCCAAGTAATCATTTCGTCATTTATTAAAACTCAATACCCATTCCTAATTTGAAAACAAAACTCACAGTAAAATCAAAAATACCTTTTTAACACTATGAAGACTATCTGGATAACCAGCATCACTCATGGTAAAACAAACAAACACCAGAGGTTGTATCCAGACAAGTTAGTTTTAACAGGAGCTGACATCTGAGCATTTCAAAATTCCAGGCACTGAGTTCTAAGTGGTTTTACATAGATTAATCCTCATCTCAAACCTATGAAACAGGTATTGTCACTAGCTGTGTTTTATGGATGAGCTGAGGCTCAGAAAGGTGAAGTAACTTAACACCACATAGTTAACTAAGAGGGAGTACGAGGCTTTAACAAGGGACTTCTGGGACTTCTGTCTTCACAGCCTTATCTAGGAACTTCTGTCTTCACAGCCCAAGTTCCTTATCTTCTTGTAATCCTGCAGTCACTCACCTTTGTGCTGGATGTTCTAGACTGTGCACTAAGTGAAAGGGCACTAAGAAGTATTGTTACTATTGGAAAGGAAACAAAATTATTATTTTTGTATAAAGTTATTAAAACAGTATAGTAGAGATTTGTCTGCATAAAAATAAAGGCTTAAGTATGTCAAAAATAAATGAATAACACAGAAGCTAAACAATCAACTGGAAATTGTAACATGCATGAGAGAAAGTAAGATGCACAGCCTATAGGAAAAAGGTTAAAAAATATATATATATATGTTTAGTATGGAGTTGATCATCTAATAAACTATGCTTTTACCCGTGTGATTTGGAATTTCTCTGTAACTGTGAAGCTGACCATTCAGAATGTATTTCATCATTTTTAAAATGTCAGTCATTATTTATTCCCTCTCAAAAATTGCAGAAGCAATTATTTGATATTATTTTTAAAAACAATAATAGTAGCGGCTGACGCTGTTTAGTCCTTGCTACACACCAGCCCCCGTTTTAAGTGCTTTTACACACGTTGCCTCCTGAACTCTGTCTTATTGTGACCCCAGCACTTAGAATAGCACAGACCCCAGAGGAGCATTGCTGCATTTTTTAGTTGAGTAAATGGACCTACAGTTTTATAAAATGTAAGAATGTTGGTATTTTAAGAAAATACTTGGCCGGGCGCGGTGGCTGAAGCCTGTAATCCCAGCACTTTGGGAGGCCGAGTCGGGCGGATCACGAGGTCAGGAGATTGAGACCATCCTGGCTAACACGGTGAAACCCCGTCTCTACTAAAAAATACAAACTAGCCGGGCGAGGTGGCAGGCGCCTGTAGTCCCAGCTACTCGGGAGGCTGAGGCAGGAGAATGGCATAAACCCGGGAGTCAGAGCTTGCAGTGAGCTGAGATCCGGCCACTGCACTCCAGCCTGGGCAACAGAGCGAGACTCTGTCTCAAAAAAAAAAAAAAGAAAATACTTACCATAAAAATGCCCTTCTAGAACAGAGCCATATCTATCCAGGCCAAGATTCTGTCTCCTACAGTAGTTCCAAGGAGGCAATTTGAAGTAAGGCCTACTTGTCTCCCAAGGCATAACCTCAAAGCTTCAGCATCATGCCCAGATGATCTCTAATATCCTTAATGATATGTGAAAGGCCGTTCACCATGTGCTAGGCGCTGTGCTATAGCATCTCATTTGATCCCAGTGACAATGTTATGGGATAGGAACACATTTCAGAGGGAGGACACTGATGCCCAGAGACTTCAAACACCTTTCTTAAGGTCACACAGCTGTAGACTATTGGAGCAGGAGTTCACATCAAGCCTCCCTAAATCCAGTGCCCCTGTTTGTCCCTCTACTCTGCAAAATTTCACATTTGTTTGTTTTTAGCTTATACCACCTCTCTAAAGGAGGGTTCGCTCCGTTCCTATCTGCCATATAATGAGGCATGGGTTTTTGTTGTTGTGTGAGTTATTGGTGCAATTTTCAGTAGGAAGAAAGCAAGCCTGACTTTAGCAGTAGAAAGACGAGGAGATAGGGCCATACCATTTTATGTATTTGACAAGTCGACATCATAGCATTACATCCACAGTACTTTTATTTTTATCATTATTTTCTTATTTTACTTTAAGTTCTGGGATACATGTGCAGAACTTGCAGATTTGTTACATAGGTATACATGTGCCATGGTGGTTTGCTGCACCTATCAACCTGTCATCTAGGTTTTAAGCCCTGCATGCATTTGGTATTTGTCCTAATGCTCTCGCTCCCCTTGCCCCCCCACCCCCCGCAACAGGCCCCAGTGTGTGATGTTCCCTTCCCTGTGTCCATGTGTTCTCATGGTTCAGCTCCCACTTAAGAGTGAGGACATGTAGTATTTGGTTTTCTGTTCCTGTGTTAATTTGCTGAGACTGATGACTTCCAGCTTCATCCATGTCTCTGCAAAGGATATGAACTCATTTTTTTTAAGGCCGCATAGTATTCCATGGTGTATATGTGCCATGTTTTCTTTATCCAGTCTATCATTGATGGGCATTTGGGTTGGTTCTAAGTCTGCTATTGTAAATAGTGCTACAATAAACATAGTACTTGAATAAGTATCTCTAACAGGGGCTTTTTAAAAATATAAGAACAATGGTGTTATCACATCCAACAAAATTTAATAATCCCTAATGTTATCTAATATGCAGTCTAAAAAGTATCATTTTGGACTTGATTTGTTTGAATCAGGGAAGATGAGGTGTTTTTAACATGTAGCATTCACTAATAAAAGCCCCTCAGTCCTCATTCCATTAATGACTTTGCCGTATTATTTATCAGCAACTTCTTCGAGAGATGCAACAGATGGCCAGCCGTCCCTTTGCCTCCGTAAATGTCGCCTTGGAAACAGATGAGGAGCCTCCTGATCTTATTGGGGGGAGTATAAAGGTGAGAATGTGACTCAGAAGTCCCTATAACTTGACTTTTTAAAACTTAGGCTCCTAAGTCTGGGAAACCAGAGAGGCAAAAGCCTTATTCCATTACCTCCTTTTTTCCCTCTCTTTCTTTTTAACAATAAGCTAAAACAATGAAGTTGTTGGGTACTCTTTTGCTTTTGTTTTTCAGTCTTTGTTTCATGTCACTGAGCAGTCTTGTGTTCAGGGGATTTTAAAATATAAATGATTTGTCTGATTTTCTTTTAAGTATTCTGTGGCATACAAAACTTTTATTTGAAAATAACTACATTGAACATTGAATCATTTTTCTTTTTTTTTTTTTCTTTTTTTTTTTGAGACAGAGTCTCACTGTGTCACACAGGCTGGAGCGCAGTGGCGCAGTCTCGGCTCACTGCAATCCACCTCCCGAGTTCAAGCGATTCTCCTGCCCTAGCCTCCTGAGTTGCTGGGATTACAGACGTGCGCAACCATGCCCAGCTGATTTTTGTATTTTTAGTAGAGACAGGGTTTCGCCATCTTGGCCAGGCTGGTCTCGAACTCCTAACTTCCAGCAATCCGCCCGCCTCGGCCTCCCAAAGTGCTGGGATTACAGGCGTGAACCACTGTGCCCAGCCCATTGTTCTTTATATTTGGGGGAATTTTTTAAGCAGAAAAATGATAATACACTGTGTATTAACACTGTATGGAAAATATTTATCACCCGCCTCCCCAAAAGGATGAAGAAAATGGTAAGACTTTCTCCTTGGGCAAAATGATGGAATATTTAAGATACACTAGAGAAATAGCTATATATCTTGAATAAAACATACTTATTTAAAATGTTACTGAGCTCACAGGAAATAGGTAAAATCAGGCAATAGTTTCCTTCCCTACCCTAAAAAGAACAAACCATAAACCAAAACCAGAACCATGATTTGTCCTAAGTGGTTCCAGATGGTAAACACCATGACGCCCACCTGAATATATGGAAATCCTCTCTGTAGAAAAACATCTTCAATTCAGCGCTGTTGGAGTCCCACAGACCAAGATGAAGTAATTAAAGATCACCAGGGACAAGAAGAGGCAAGCCACCATAAATAAGAATAGCAGAAACAACAGAAGATTGATGTGGTCAGGACTCCAAATATTAGAATTGAAATATAAAGAATATAATGTAACTGTGTGTGAAATGTTTAGAGAAATAAAAGATGAAATCATAAAAGATGAGAGTCAAGTATGGCCAAGCGGAGCTGAAGAAGAACCAAATGGAACTTCTAGAAATGAAAAATACACTCATTGAAATTTTTTAAATAAACTCAGTTTACATGTTAAACAGCATATGAAACATAGAGAATTTACGAAGTGGAAGATGAATCTGAAAAAAGTACACAGAATGCAGCTCAGAGAGACAAGGAGATAGAAAGTACGATAGATACTAAGAATATGGAGGATAGAATGAGAAGATCCAACTCATGTATTTCCAGAATCCCAGAACAAAGGAGAGGCAATATTCAGGAATGATAGCTTTCCAGAACCGATGGAAAACATGAATATACAGATTCCAGAAGCAAAACATATTGTAAGCATGATTAAAGAAAGAAAGAAAGGGAAGGCAGGAAGGAAAGAAAACTAGTTGGATTTCTCATAATGAAATTGTATAACTCCAAAGACAAAGAGAACATCTTAAAATCAGCCAGAGAAGAAGTATCACATACAACGTGGAGAAACTGGAACCTTAGTGCACTGTTGATGGAAGTATAAAGTGATGGAGCCTCTGTGGAAAACAGTACCACTGTTCCCCCCAGAATTAAAAATAGAGTTATATATGATCTGGCAATCTGGGTTTATACATAGAAGAACTGAAAGCAGAGTCTTAAAGACATATCTTGGCAGCATTATTCACAGTAGCCAAAAAGTGGAAGCAGCCCAAGTGTCCATGGATGGATGAATGGATAAGCACAACGTGGTCTAAGCATCCAATGGAATGTTATCCAGCCTTCCAAAGGGAGCAAACTGACCCATGCTACAATGCTAAATAAAATAACGCTAGAAACAAAAAAAATAAACATTGTATGATTACACTTTTAAGAGATACACTTGTAGTAGTCAAGTTCATAAAGACAGGAAGTAAAACAGTGGTTCCCAGGGGCTGGGAGAGGGGGGAAATGGGGAGTTAGTAATAGGTACAAAGTTTGAGTTTTACAAGATGAAGAGAGTTCTGGAGATGGATGGTAATGATGGTTGCACAACAATGTGAATATACTTAATACCACTGAACTGTACATTTTTAAATGGTCAAGATGGTAAATGTTATGTGTATTTTACCACAATTTTTGTTAAAAATGGGAAAAGAGGCCGGGTGTGGTGGCTTACACCTGTAATCCCAGCACTTTGGGAGGCCGAGGTGGGTAGATCACTTGAGGTCAGGAGTTCAAGACCAGCCTGGCCAACATGGTGAAATCCCGTCTCTACTAAAAATACAAAAATTAGCCAGGCATGGTGGCACGCATCTGTAATCCCAGCTACTTGGGAGGCTGAGGCATGAGAATCATTTGAACCTAGAAGGCAGAGGTCACAGTGAGCTGAGATTACGCTGCTGTACTCCAGCCTGGGTGACAGAGTAAGACTCTATCTCAAACAAAAAAAAAAAAAAAAAAAGGGAAAAGATCACCTGCAAAGGAATGACAAGCTGACTGTTGACTTCTCAGAAGTTAGAAGAGAGTGGGAGAATGTCTTCGAAGTACTGAAAGAGAGCTCCCAACCTAGAATAGTGTAGTGTGCCCAGTAAGTACCTTCTGAGAACAAGGATGAAATAAAGGTGTCTTCAAATTAGAAGAAAAATTGAGAATTTGCCACCAGCAGACCTGCACAAAAGAAATGTCTAAAGGATGTGCTAAAATGAAGGAAAATTACCCCCAGGAGGATAGACTAAAGTTTTAGTAAGAAAGAATAGTGAGTAAATAAAAGTATAATCATGTATATAAATCTAAACAAACATTGTCCTGGTAAAATAATATTTGTGGGATTAAAAAATAGACAAGCCTAAAGTATTGAACAACATGGTATATGTCAGCAGCATATGACACAGTTAGTTGCTCCTTAAAACACTTCCTTGATTTTCTTGCAGGACACCACACACTTGCCTTCTAGCTGTTCTTGCTCAGTGGTCTTGGCTCAGTCCTCCTCATCTTTTGACAGTGGTGTGCATCAGGCCCTGTCTTTGTCCCCTTCTTGTGTCTTTTATACCCACTCCTTCAGTGATCTTCACTATCACAGGTTTAAGCACCATGATCCTCTCACCCAGACTGCTCCCATGAGCCTCCAACCCAAACATCAGTTGCCTACTCAGTGTCCCCACTTGGATATCTTAACATGGCTATGGCCAAGCTGAGCTTTGGATGTTTATTTCTCAGGCTTGCTTCTCTGACATACCTTCCACCATTCATCACGTAACACCTTCATCACCCTAGCTGCTCAAGCCAAAATCATGGAATTGTTCTTGTCTCGTTCTCGATGTCATGTTCTCATTGGACAGCCAGTCTATCAGCAAATCTTGACTCCGTCTTCAAAAATGTTACCCAGCCACTGTGTCTCACCTCTGCCACTGTTCCCACTTGATCTAGGCCACCACTGTCTCTCACCTGGATTCTTGCAATTACTTCATAACTGATCTCCCTGCCTCTGCCATTCACCCATCTAGTCAGTTCCTTGTGCCACAGCAGAGTGGTACTGGAAATTATTTTCTTCAACCAAATTGAAGAAATTGATGACATATTTGTGGGTGTAATCAGCAGAATTCTAAAGGTGGCCCCCAAGATTTCTGTCCCATGTTTATTCAGTCACATACTACTCTAGGTACTGCAAGAGGAATTTTGCAGATGTAATGAAACAAGGGAGGTGACTTTAAGATACAGAGAGTTTCTATGGTGGGTGGCAGAAGAGGAAGCCAGAGAGATTGGAAACATGAGGACTTGATACACCATCCCCGGTTTAGAGATGGAGGGGCCACAGAAGTTTTTCTGTTTTTGTGAGACAGAGTCTGGCTGTATCACCCACACTAGAGTGCAGTGGCAAGATCATGGCTCTTGGGCTCAAGGGATCCTCCCTCCTGGATCTCCCAAAGTGCTGGGATTACAGGTGTGAGCCACTGCGTAAGCCCTGAATGCGTTTCAAAGCAGAGTCTTCCCCAGAGTCTCCAGATGAGAGTCCCACCCAGCTGACAACTTGACTTCAGCCTGGGAGACCTCAGGAGACAGCTGATTATTCCCCAGAACTCATGGAATACATGAACAGAGAACGCTACAGAGCTTGCTGGGACTTCTGACCTCTAAAGCTGTGAGATAATAAGTGTATGTTGTTTTAAGCAACTAAGTTTGCAGTAGTCTGTTACACTAATATAAGCTGGGTGCGGTAGGTCACACCTTTAATCCCAACACTTTGGGAGGCTGAGGTGGGAGGACCGCTTGAGCTCAGGAGTTCAAGACCTGCCTGGACAATATAGTGAGACCCCATTTCTAGTCTTTTAAAAAAAAAAAAAGAAAGAAAGAAAAGAAAAAGAGAAGAAACTAATATTGGGGACAAATCTCATCTAAAGGCTCCAACAGAAGATGAAGACATATTTTCCAGAGCCAAATGCATCCAGAGAATAGACAAAGAATCCACTTGGTCAGCCACCCAGCTTTTACAAGCTTTTACATCCAGCAGGCTTGTCTACTTAGTGTCTAAAGGACAGACAAAATAGAATGTTTTTTAAGTCTCCATAATATCTGCATCTGTGTTTGAGCCAGGTATGCAGAACTATCTGACAAATCTACCGAGCACTCACCACTGCCATTCCTGTGACCTACAATTCTGAGTTAGAATTTCAAATCAAGCGAAAGTACAGCATCCAGAAAAAACCCACTTGGCATGACCCCTTCCCTACAGTTCATGCAGCCCTTTGGCAGCAGACCGTGAGACCTCAGTGGAAGGTAGCAAGCAGTACCACCCCTGTCACTGGTGCTCAGAGAGTACTGTTAGCTCTCACCTGCCCTTTTTTGTTTTCTTAAAAACTGCAATGTACCTTTTTTATAGACCTAAAATTGATGGTTCTTATAAGCACCAATGACCGTTAAGTTGTCCGTGTACGTTAAAGCTTATCACTTTAGGTAATTTTGTTTTCTTCCGCCAGACTGTTCCCAAACCCATTGCACTGGAGCCATGTTTTGGCAACAAAGCCGCTGTCCTCTCTGTGTTTGTGAGGCTCCCTCGAGGCCTGGGTGGCATCCCGCCTCCTGGGCAGTCAGGTGAGTAGATACGGGCCAGCGACAGACACCTTCTAAACATGTGAGGGAGCTAAGCATGGGATACTTCCCTTTCCTAGAGAACAAGGTTATGAAGGTGATAATCAACAGTGCCTGCCCATGCCATGGCAAGGATTCAGTGAGATAATCCCATTTTCATCTATATGCCCAAAACTGTTTTCCCAAGGTCATCATCCCTTCCTGGGGGGACGTCCCGGGACCTCCTCAGCGTTCCTGCCTCCCCAGCCTCTCAGTGCTCGTGGATGCCTCTGAGCACACCTTCCTTTGCTGTCGGAGTTTCTGGTCCCCCTTTGCCTCTGCTGCTCTTTCCCTGTCTCCTTTGCCCTGTCCTACCCCTGAATCTGGGCGTGCTCCCTTCACTCTGCATGCTCTTCCTTGGTCGCCTTCTCCACTCCACAACTTCCAGCCGTCTGCCCTGGGCTGGTGTTTCTTCAACTGGTATTTCTAGCCCTCCTGCATTTCTTTGGCTTTTTCTCTGTTTTAAATATAAGGTACAAACACAACGATAACGTAAAGGAAACGTCTGAAAATCCACGCACAGCTGTCCCACAACCCTCCAATTTTCATTGTTCTGTGTTCTTTCCAGCCCTGACCAGCAATTTAGTTGAAATGATTGTATAGATCTAATTTTTATTCTGCTTTTTTCATATAACTATCTTAAACATTTTTACAGCCTACATAATATTTTACCAATGCATGTGACACTTCTCCATCAAATATATGAATCGTAATTATATAAACTCCTATTTTGAAGACAGAAAATATGGAATACAGTTTTGAAGGTATCTCGCTTAATTACAGAGTGCTTTGGAGGATGCCTCAATGTGATCATTTTAGACAACTTTCAGTTGAGATGATTCTGAGGTCAGGGTTACCTTAGCCAGAGAGAACCCTGTGTCTGGTGGAAAGGCTGCCTCAGGATACTGGTCCAGGCCCTGAGCTCCACTGTCCCTTCAGTGCACCCTCAGACCCAGAAGATCCTCCAGCCCAGCTTTAGAACGGTTAGGATCTGTGGTATCTTCACAAGGGAGGCCTTTCTGCATGGCTCGGCCAGGATTCATTGTCTTCATCTCACCTAGGGATTCCTGTGAGTTGAGCCCCTAACTCGGCCTTCCCATGTTGAGGCCAGGACAACTCTCTGATCTGTCATTCAAGTGCAATTTGTGTCTCCTGCCACCACCCAGCCCAGCAAACAGTGGCTGATGCTCCCTGAAGGCAGGGTGGTGGCTGGGGCAGCGAGGTGACAGGTGTGCAGCCCTGTAGCCTTTCCTCCTCCAGCCTTTGCCTGACGTGCCCCAACCACCCAAAACACCTAATAAAGGTCTGTTCACTGCTTGAGACTCACCCAACAGTGGGGCCGTCTTTGCTGCCCTTTCTGTACCCCCTGTTTTAAGTGGTGCCATTTTCTGGACTCCTAGAGCATTCCCCACTATGTGCCAGGCACTTACAGCTGTCTACCCCCACCCCCACTCCCCTTCACAGGTGAGTAACACGCTCCACTAATACAGCTCCTGGCAGGTCTCAGCAGGGCTCCGAGCCTGCACTGGCCATTTCCCACGTGTATTAGGAATCCAGCTCCCCCAGAACCGTGCCTTCCCTAATGGATGTCAGATTACTCTGTTACCAATACAGGAAGGAAAACAGGATTGCAAGTCGCCAAAGCAAAGTGGGCGGCGGGGCAGTGATGAGCATGAAGGGTAATTGCTATTGATCGTTGGTTGCTGTGTGCCAGATACTAAGATTTTATGCCTGCCAGGTACTAAGACTTTATGTCAGTTCACTCATTGACTTCACATTAGCCCTGTGCTATTATTATCCCCATTTTACAAATGAGGGAACTAAGGCACGGGGAGGTTAAAGAACCTTGCTTATTCCAAAGCCTGGCCCCAGAGCCTGCCCTGCCTGTATCGTGGTATGGAATGGAAGTGACTAATGCTGACTGAATGATGTGGGTGAATCCAAATCTCCTCATAAAGGGTGCTGCTGTTTCTTGGCTCCTTTTGGAGGCAGGCAGGAGAAATTGGGCACTTAGCATACGTCTGCAATCTCATTTATATGTTCCCACCACCAAGCAGAGCACTCTGCTTGGTTGATGTGCTGAAAAGCAAACTACACCTTTTGTGTAAAAAGTAGGGAAAGGAAAAGAATATGTATTTGTATTTGCATAAATACACACTGAAAGAATACATAAAAATTAGTGAAAACATTTACCCAGATGGAGGGGAAGGTGGAGGGAGGGTCAGGGTGGAAGGAAGACTTTTCCCTGTGTATGTGTATGTGTACCTTTTTGGGGGTTTTTATTGTGTTTTTTTGGTTTGTTTTACATCATGGGATTGCAAAATAAATGTTTAAATTATTTTTTAAAACAAAAGCCAGCTGCTCCCAACCTGTGTTCTCTCTGTGGTTCTCCCAAGGTCTTGCTGTGGCCAGCGCCCTGGTGGACATTTCTCAGCAGATGCCGATAGTGTACAAGGAGAAGTCAGGAGCTGTGAGAAACCGGAAGCAGCAGCCCCCTGCACAGCCTGGGACCTGCATCTGATGCTGGGACCAGGGACTCTCCCGCGCACGAGCCAGTGAGTGGCACACCAGAGCTGTCTGCAGGGAAGGACGCGGCGGGGAAACGGCTGTGCGGTGCGGGGCAGAAGACTGGAAACCCTCAAAGCATCTGACTCACCTGCATGACCACAAGCTTTCTTTGACGGTTTCTCCCATCCGTGTTCCAGCATCTAACCTTTTACTTTTGCATAGGAAATACTTGATTTAATTACAGGTCCAGGAATGAGCTGATGGTTGCTGGAGGAGGCCGGTGTAGAGCCAGTGAGAGAACTAGGAATGACACTCAGGTTCACTGTGGAAAACTGTTCTTGGGACTGTCTCAACTGCAAAAAACAAAAGATGGAGTGTTTACAAGTAGATGTTCGTCATCAGTTGTTCTTGAACTTGGTCTTTTAAAAACTAGTCAGATGAATTAACTTGTTTTCATCTGAAGCCTGCTATCTTTTTTAAAAGATGTGCTGTTTATTCTTGCACGATTTAGGCAATTCTCTCTCTTCCAGGGAGTACCTTTTTTTCTAGTTGAGAATTAATAATGGTCCATCTCTTTTGATCATATCAAGCTAGGGTAGAAGGGGGGCTATTTTCAATGTCAAGGTCAGCAGCATTACTTCAAATGTAAACTGGTATAACAGGTAGTTTTCTATAGCAACTTGATTAATTTAGTCTTAATCCATTTGAAACTCTCTCTTCCTTTCTCTCTGCCTGTCCCTCTCCTTCTCCCTCTCCATCTTACCCTCCCTCTCTCTCACATACACATACAAATACATACACACAACACTAAGTGCCTAGACTTTAAATAGATCTAGCAATTGGAAAGTTAGTAAGCCTAAGTTTTTACATAATTGCATTCCTACATTCTTGTAAAATTTAAATAGCTACCATTGGCAATCTGCTTTTTTTCTAAAATCTGATTTGCAGCCAGGAAAGAATTTTCTCACCCCAAGGAACGTCTGACCTAGCAGCAGGGATGAGAGGAAAGCAGAAATGAATGAATTGTGAAAGCTCCTGTTTTTATTATCAAAAAGGACACTGTCAAGAAGGCGCCCCTTGCCCCCACCCCCATGTCACCCTAGGCCTGATAAGTGATCAGAGGAAGGGACTCATTCATGTCACGTTTCCTTGAGCAGAAAAGAGCACTGAGAACACTTGGGACCCCTGGATCAGAGAGCAGCTGTGTGTCCTGCAGCCTCCTCTGAACTTGTGGTTCATTCTTAGGCTGGGGTGGACTCAGATGCCAGGAGAGAGACAGCCTCCCATTGTCAGGCAGAAGCTGCCCAAAGCCTAGAGAAGGACCTGTTTGCCCTCTTTTCCCCAGGAGGGGCTCGACCCACCCCCCCACCCACCCTCCCTCTCAGACCAAGGTGGTGACTGTGAGGAGGGCAGCAAATGCTGACAAGGATGAAAAGCACATGGAAAAAAAAATGGATGAGGAGGGAAAACTCTATGCCAAATGGAAAATGACCAAATTTAGATTTGAGAGAGTGGGACAGTCCCCTGCGCCTCTCCCAGAGGGCACTGCCTGGAAATTGTGTTTTCCCGATTTATGGTGCTCCCTTCTGGCATTACGCGGCCGCCTCCCAGAAGCTCTCTTCTGCCTCAAAACCTGGGATCTCTGGCATTACCCTATTGGGATGGACCGCTGGACAGCAATGCTCGAGTTTGTGAATTTGGAGAAATACTCAAAAGAGCCAAAACTGTGGCGTTTTACCTTTAAATGCCATGCCTAGAGAGAGAGTATTGTCTCTTCCCCAACACTAACTCCACTCCCATGAAGAATTGCCTGGAAAGATGTTTTCAAGGAAGTTGAACCATAAAACACTATCTGATGCACAAAACACCTCTACTTTGAGACTCACCTCTCATAAAGCTTCTTTTTCACATTATTGTTGAAGAGCAGACGTTCTAGAAAAGACCCCTCCTCTCATGAGCTCCCCCATCCCTGCTACAGAAAACAGCGCCCATAGCGCCTGCAGTGGGCTGACCCACCAATTCCCACCGCGCCCCCTCCGCCCGGCCTGCAGTGGGCTGACCCACCAATTTCACCGCGCCCCCTCCGCCCCGCCTGCAGTGGGCTGGCCCACCAATTCCCGCCGTGCCCCCCTCCGCCCCGCCTGCAGTGGGCTGGCCCACCAATTCCCACCGCGCCCCCTCCGCTCCGCCTGCAGTGGGCTGACCCACCAATTCCCGCCGCGCTCCCCTCCGCCCCGCCGGCAAGGCAAAAGGGAGGCCCCTGGGCATTGTCCTCCCACAAGGAAGATCCTCTTTCTTTGTTCAAAGAACCAGTTTTCCTTGGCCGAAGAAGTCTCTTCCCCATGTTAGTCCTATGCCTTGAAATATCATGCACCATGACCCACAGCCATCTGGTTATGTCTTTTTTTTTTTCCTAAAAGATAATGTTTATTTTTAAAAAGGAAGGAAGGAGCAAGTGAAGTTTCATCCTGCTCCAGCAGTGGGGAAGCCGCTGAATCCACCTGCTTCTCCTTTGCAACCAACAGCAAACAGCTTCCTCTGGCCTCAGGGCAGAAAAAGGGAATGGCAGGGAGTAAGAGGCGCTGGGCTTGGGGCCTGTTACCAAGAAGGAATGGGTTGTCATCTGGCAATGTTGCGTGTCACAAGAGAGCCTGTATATAAATTAAAATAGTCAAGACAACACTGACCTTGCACTTGTACATAACTATACAGTAGTGTCCAGAATGCTCAGACATTCGGAGTGTACATAAAACAGAAAAAATCTTCATGTATTTTTATTAAATATAACAATGAGTTTCATCTAAGATGTTTTTGTGCCATATGCTGGGTATCCAGGTTCCGAGAGTTCCTCTTGCCAGGCCCCAATACATGAATAACCCAAGAAACACATCCCCATTGTGTGATGTGTTCAGATGCATCTGGCACCAATTAGGTATTTCTTAAAACGGGACCCATCTGTCAGAGTCATATGAAAAATCAGGCAGGGAATCAAAACGGCAGCGCTTGAGGAGACTCGGGAGGCAGAGGCATCTCTGCTGCTGCCCTTGGCCCTGCAAGCACATCATGACCCTTTCTGGCAGCCTCTTGGTACTCTGGGTAGTGAGGGATGAGCAGTCTTGTCCTGAGAAATGTTTCTGTTAGTCTTAAGTTCAAAGACTATAACCTGTGGCAATCAGACTTTCCAAAGGAGGGTTCTCCATTTTTTGTAGTTTTGTCTAAATTTTTAATGACCATTTCCTGGAATCAGTTTATTATACTGAAAACTGGGAGTGAGAGAAGGGAGCTAGTTTGTTGATAAATAGTTCCCATGTCCCCGTGGAGAATTCGACATACCCTGAACTCCTGTGTGCCTCCTGCCGTCCCTGCACATAGCCTGGGGATAAGCCTGCGCCTCCCTGTGTGGAGAGAAGGCAATCCCAGATCCCCTGAGCTAACCCGGAGAAAAGGCAGTTCTAGACAGAAGACTGTCAGCAGAAGGAAAGTACTGGACTACCCGTGGGTAAGGCCTGCCATTCAAGACTGGAGACACCTGGGAAATAAAAAGAGCAGGGCACTGCCGGTGGGAAGAGGCATTTTACCTTCCAGTGCAAATCCTGCTCCTTTGATTTAATGGGGTGTATTGGGGCCAGGGGCTGATTCACTTCCTTGGGAGATGGTGGTGGTTTCATGAACATCTTTGATCCTTCCATTTCATTTATTCACCCATGCATTCAACAAGTATTTGCTAAACACTAACCTAAGCTAATGCTAGGGTAGTGACTTAGATGTAAAAATAGATTTTAGAATTAAAATCCAAGGCCTCACACCCCTGTCAACCCAGGAGATCTTTCCTTGTGGTGGTTTCTGTGAGAATTGGCTATCCTGAGGACAGAGCCAGGATGGCAGAGGCCTCCTGTCCTCAGGGCATGCCCTGCCTACCTTCTGAAATGTTTACCCCATTGACCAAACTTGGCTTCAGCCACTGCGGTGGTTTCTAGATAGCCGGGCCCACCAAGAGACATTGCCCCTTGATGAGAGTCAAACACCCTGCCTACAAGGAGATGTTTTGAAGTGGAGAGGAAAATTGGCGCCTTCTCTTTTAAAGGCAATAATGGAATTGACTTTCAGTTACTGAATTTGTGCACAAAACATTCTAAACACTAGTGAAGCCTGTTTCGTTGAACTAATTCTGGCTCTGGAAATGTTTTTGTTTTATAGTTATTTACGGTTTCGTTTGTTTGGATTCAAGCTTAGTTTGTTAATATGTATAATTTAGCATCTATTACACTCATGTAAATATGGAGTAAGTATTGTAAACTATTTCATTGCTGGGGATTGTGGGTGTTATACATACATTTAGGACTGCAATTTTTTGGTATTTTTTGTATTGTAAAATAACAGCTAATTTAAGCAGGAACAAGAGAACTAAGGGAGGTCTGTGCATTTTAAACACAAATGTGAAGAACTTGTATATAAACAAAAGTAAATACTATAATACAAACTTCCTTCTGAAATAAAAGTAGATCTGGTAAAAATGTGGCTTTTGTTCTGAGTGTTTCATTTTGATTTTGCATTGTTTTGCCTATATTTACATTTTGTTCATTAGAACCTAAAGGGAAAAAAAAGCGTTTACCAGTTTTCAGACTGCCTCAGAGGAAGCACTTGGCAGTTATGGAGGTAAGAGTGAAAACCCCTGGCAGGTACCTCAGACACCCCTCCAGGCAGCTTGTGAGCCACAGACCTTCCACAACAGCCTTTGTGTGCCTACAGGGCAGCGGGGCCCGTGGGGGCAGGGACAGATCTGAGCAGTGAGGTATGGACAGCTGTCTCACTCCTCCACTAACCACGCTGTTGTCTCCAATGTATTCTTCCACTTTGCGCTGTCCTCACGGGCTCCTGAATGTCCCTCTAGGTTGTCTCCAAACTGCTAAATCTCAAGTGTGCTGACAGGTCTCAACCGTGGCCACAGCATTGTCGTTGTCGTTGGCCTTGAATTTTTGATGAAGTTACTCCCATTGGCAAGGCCTTGTTTGGGGGCCTCCTGTGCGTCCTACCTCACTTTGTCTCCTGCCCTCAGAGTGGGTCAGAGTCATGCATTTCATTGCCCCAATGCAGAGTGCAGATTCCCAGTGCTATGGGTTCCTTCCAGAAGGATGAGGTCATTGAAAGGAGGAAACACAAGGCGGTCACTCCTATAGGGGAAGGTGGCAGGGTACTAGGGCCAGGGCCTGAGGTGAGGGCAGGAGCCTGGAGGAGGCCTGCCCACCAGAGCTCAGGTCTGGCTTGGGGAGGGAAATGGCTGGACTAGTGGCCACAAACAAGTTGAGAAGGACATTGAAACTCTTCCAGGGAGGGCTGTGGGAGCCACCAACAGTAACAGGATAGAAACCCTGTGATTTGGTGGTACTGTGGCAGAGGCAATGCTGTGTTTACCAAACCTACTGGGCCCACAGCTCATCATTTCCCCAGCCTCCCTGCAGTTAGGTTGGAACCAAGCTAAGCCGTGGCCAAGGGAAGGTTGGAAGAAGCGATGGGCACCAATTCCAAACGGCACACAAATGCTCCCACAGGGGACTCTCCTGGGGGCCACATGTTAAAGACACTGGAGGGACTGTGGGTCTCTGAGTCACCCCTTAGAGGTCGGCCACCCGATCAGTAAGAGCTCTGCTGGCCATTGCATCACTGAAAGCAAACTCACTCTACTGATCCACTGAGACTTG